AGTTTTCTCTTAAAGAGAGTAAAATATAATGAAAAGAATAATAACGGTGATCTTTGGTTTCCTATTTGTGTTTTGACCATCTATCAACCTTAGTGTCCTAAGTTACCTAAAATAATTGACTAAAATAACAGTTTCAATTGCTCATTAAAACCTTAAGTAAGATATTTTTCCATATCAAAACACAGTGATTTTAAAATAGACTTTAAAAACAGCTTTTACATGTCCTGTGTCCAGGTATACACATTGAAATAGAGATTCAAGTTTAGTTATAATTCAGAGAGTTCAGGACTTTAAGTTTTCACTGTTTACCTAACTTCTACCTGTTTTATCCAAATCTGAACTTTAACAATTATTTAAATTTGTGAAATTTAAATTTAAATTTTTTCTTTCATATCAGTATAGAGTTAAAACACTAGTGTTTTTTTCCATTCTCCTCACTCATTTTCATTCCTGTTGTCTCTGATTTCACATTTCCAGAGAGTAGAGCAACCTCTAGGTTTATAACCAAAATAATAGTTTTGTGTATAAAGGAATTTTGTGTGAAGAGGAATTTTGGTAGATATCCAGCATCACAGTTTAATAGGTTAAAAAAACCCCCTGGATTTGCTTCCAAAATTAAATCATAGCATCTCAAAATGGTTTGGAAGGGAGCTTAAGCATCATCTAGTTCCAACCCCATTGCCATGGGCAGGGTCACCTTCCACTAGAACACGTTCTTCAAAGCTTCATTCAACCTGATCTTGAATTCTTCCAGTGTTGGGACATCACAGCTTCTCTGGACAACCCGTTCCAGTGCTTAATCACAGCTGTGGTAAGCGACGCTTCTGTTATGTCCAATTTAAACCAACTCATTCTCGGTTGAAAACTGTTCCCCTTGTCTTGCCATCACATGCCCCAATAAAAAGTTTTTCCCCACCTTTCTTGTAATCCCTCTTTACACATTGAAAGTTCACAACAATGTCCCACTGGAGTTTTTTCTTCTCCAGGTTGAGCAACCTACATGCTTGTTGTGACTGGACCCTGTGGTTAGGGGTCCTTTCAAAGTTGTTCCCATATTTGAAATGTTTTACTTCATCACCATTGTTTTGGTTGTGTTTCATTTTGGCATTGCTACTTAGGAATAAAGTACCTGAAAACATCTTTCAGCAGTGTAGTTACCTCCTTTAAGTATTTCTATCAGTGTAAAAGTTCTTGTAACAGGAAACTGAGCCTAGACTACAAGCACATTAACTTCAAAATGTTAGTAAGTGCATAAGAGTCCTAGGAATTTTAAGTTTCTCTTTGAATTTTGTAACTTAAGTTTCCTATTAAGGAATAGAAAGGTAAAATTCCGATTTAAAAAAAAAAAAGTTCAAGTCTGCTATGTCAACACTAGCTTGCAGACATTTTCAGGATAGTTTCTACCCTCTTTTATATGACTATTCTTTCACACTTGATTTTATTGAAAAGCTGGCAAAATTTAATCTCTGAGTTTCTCCAGTACTTCAAAAGGTATTTTCCCAACAGCATGCTTCCTTTTTGTCTGTCACTACGCAAAATTGATTTTTTTTTTCTTGAATTTCTTCTTCTTTATAGGTGTGACTGCTACCAGCACAGGTTGGTCCTCTGGTTCAGCTACAGTATGAGTGGCCATGGTGCCTGTTGATCTGTTTTGTTCCTCCTCCCCCTGAGGATGCTCTCTAGTGACAAGCAGTGTCTGGTAAACATTAACCAGGGTCCAGCACCCTGCAGTAAGTTCCTCATCTCTGGAGCTGACACAGAATTCCCTTGCAAATACTGTCACTTTAACAGGGTCTTGTACTTGGTCAGCAGGGAATCTTCAAACCGTTGGAACAGAATATTTCCCCCAAAACTGGCTATTTTCTCCCACATTCTGTGTCACTCATGACTACCTGCCCTTGGGGCAGATCTCTGAATGACCTTAGAAACCTCTTTTGTAACTGAGGAGACCCGACAGAACCAGCAACAAGAACATGCTTTCCTTAACATGTACAGGGAATCCAAAATTCTCAAAAGCTCTTGTAACAGGCCTGAAGGAAGAAAGGGGGAAGAAAGCCTCAGAAGCATTGTCCTCCCCTGTTCTACCCACAGACTGGGTATGATTAGGAATGAATTCCCAGAGGTAGCACCCAAGGTCAGGACAGTCGAGTAACACTAAATATACATCCCAAATGACCCTCACTGCCATTTATGTTGTTGTGTCATAAGCTGATACCACAGAGTACATCAACAAAGCAATCCTGATGCCCCTCCCTACTCTGCAAAATATCGTCCTGAGGAGCACGTGGGGGAACATGCACAGAGTGAAGTACCACAACTCACATGAACAGACAAACAACATTATGACCAGCAGCTCTGTGCCCAATATACGAATGCTTAGAGGAAATTTGTTTCCAACCTGCTCTGGGCAGACCTGTTGTTGTCTCAACCCTTTTTATCTTCTGTGTGAATGTACAATGCAGTCTAGTCTTTATTTTTAACACTCTACGATCAATGTAATTCAATTACTAACAATTGGTAAAGTAACTGTCCAACCATGGACCATCGAAATATTGGCATTTAATCCAGCATAAGAAGTCACTGCTATTTGTGTTGTTACATACAAAATCAAGAGTGTTTAAAATATCCATCTTCAAAAAGATTTTGGTCACATTATTCCCATTAACTTTGTAACTCTTAAGGTTGACAAGTAGATGGAGCACTTCACTGGGAGATAGTAATATGTTCAATATTAGTGCCCATGTTTGGTAGGTAGGTCTGTTAAGGTCTGAATTTCCTGGGTTCTGAGGCATTTTTGCACAGTTCATATCAAGCTGTATATTTTAAATCCAAAATTGTGGATCGTGCCTTAGATATTATTGTAGGCTCTGTCTGTGGACTGTTATTTCTCTTTGACACATTTTTTGAGGAGGACAGGTTGAAAAAGCATTGCAAGTCATGCTTCAGAAAAGCTAGTTATAAAGACATAGAAAGTGTTGAGAGTAGGAAATTGTGCTTTCTTTACATTCTAACTCCTATGTTTGGTACTGCATAGAAAGAAAAAAGAAATTACTTCCTTTTTTTTGCTGATTCAGTATGCACTCAGCAATACTGACACAGCTCCAAAATGAGCTCCTAAATGTCAGATAAGTTTCTCTCCTAACAAAGAGGATTTCAGTTGAAAATGAATGTTTTCCCATAACCCTTCATTCAAAGTCTAACTCATTAAATAGGTTCACGTGCAATGCTCTCTGACAAGATTCTCCTTGTAGTTCCTGCTCAGGAAAGATGCAGTGCAGAATGCATCAATAATTTGTTCTTTAACCATAGGCCATCACCTAAGATAAAAGTCTTGGCATTTGGGAAAGATATATAAGTGGATCAAAATCCTCAGATGGATCACCAGTCACAGTAATGTCAATTTGAGAGTTATTCATGTGTTGGTTGCAGTCAGTTTCTGAATAAAAGGTCCTTCTAAGCTTGACCTGTATGTCCCTTTCCCCTTAACAGTACAAAGGCACAATTTCTTTTACCTTACACTCCCTAATTCCCTATTTAGAAGTTTGGATTATATAGAAAAGGCAGTCTATGATAAATTGTTCAATCCTTTGTTCTTCTCTCAGATGACCTTTAATCAGTTCTAGAGATGTTTTTTTCTGTGAGTTAGATTTCACATATAAAGAGGGTCTTTTAAAGTCTCTTTTGTTGGATACTGTTATCAGGGGCTGCACTATCACTTTTGACCCTCTATTGGTTTGTCTTCTCAGTAAAAAAGGGTCTTGAACCCCTTTTAAATCTTTTATATCTTAAATATGTGGTAGAGGGGAGAATTTGTAGAATTAAAAGTGACAAAACTTATTCAACATAAATGTGGAGTCCAATGCATGAAACAAAATTTGTCAGAAATTAAAGTATGAATATATGCTTCTATTGCCAAAAGCCAAGACTCAGTACATGACACTCTAACATTAGCATTAAGCATTAATTTATGCAGACCTATTCAGCAAAAAATCTGAACATTTTCATTAGCCATGGACAGAATCCTTAATGCTGACTATACTGCCAATGCACATGAAACCAAATAAAATTCTGTCTCACGTAACTCTGTCCATTTTGACTTAAACACGAGAAACTAATGAATTTAAGTTTTGTATCCTTATATATTGACACTCTGGTCTGCTCACCCTGCTTGAGAAAACACTTCAGGGGTTTATTTTTGGTTTTGGCAAGATCACCAAACATTTTCCCCTCATTAATTTCCCATCTCAGATTAAAAAAATTGATGGTGACCAATAAAGTTGAAGAATGTTCCTCAGAGCATGGTAATAAAACAATGCAGCACTTTCTCCCAAATTGCTTTAAAAACACTAAAGCCTGGAATTTGACTGTTGCTGAACACTCACGTATCGTTGGTACAAAGGCTGAAAAAGTAGCTGACTCATCATAGCCTTATTTTAGTTTAATACTTGAACAGTTTTGCTGGGCCAGAATCATTTTGGTACTAAGATAAGATCAAGAAAAGATCCAGATGTGTAACTACATTTGCCAGTTAAAAATTATCTGCTTTGAGCAAACTATCTGACTCTTTCTCTGTACTCAGGATGGAGAATTAATTTAGGAAGTCAGAATCATGGAGTCAAAGAACCTTCCCTGTAACAAACAGGGGCATCTTCAACTAGATCAGGTTGCTCAGAGCCCTGTCTGACCTGACCATGAGTGGGACATCTCTGTAGGAGTCTCATACAATTCATACAATCCTCTGAGCCTCACCAGAGACACAGCAGCTATGGAAAAGTTGTAGGAAAAGAAATTGCATTTGTCAGTAATGGAAAATGAACCTGTGTTATCATGTTATTCCATATTATCGAAATGTGGCGTATGTAAATTAGTGTTAAAAGAGGAGCAAGGGAGATAGCAAATGGAAAACACATGTGGAATGGAATAATAGATTAATAGAATCATAGAACCCTAGAATTATGGTATCAGAATATTACAGTTTGGAAGGAACCTTTAAAGGTCAGGTAGTAAGCAACAGCATGCAATGAGTAGCAACACCTTCAGCCAGGTCAGACAGCTGAGAGACCCCTCCAACCTGACCTTGATCAAACGTTTCTACAGATGAGAATCTGCCATTGCTCTGGGCAACCTGCTTTGGTGTTTCCGCACCATCACCATAAACAGGTTTTTCCTTTTAACTAGTCTAGCCCTACCTTATTCTGCTTTAAAATCATTACCCCTTGTCCTGTCACAGTAGGCTCTACTAAAAAGTCTGCTCCTGTCTTACATATAAGCCCCCTTGAAGTATTGAAATGTCACAGCAAAGTCTCCCAGAGCCTCCTGCAGGCTAAGCAATCCCAGCTCTCTCAGCTGGCTCATGTCCAGCTTTTCATCCACCAGGATCCCTGAGTCCTTCTCCAGCTCTTCCTCCACAGGGATTTCAGTTCCTTCCCCCCTCAAATTGTGTTGATACTGGGATTGCTCCAGCCCAAGAACAGGGTCACTTCCTGAGCTTGTCCAGATCCCTCTGAATGGTATCCCGGTGCTCAAGGGTACAACGAAGGACTTGAACAACTGTCCTCCAAAGCACAGCACCAAAACTGTCCCCTGTGATTACTGTAATTCGGAATCTTACAACACATCTTAAAGGTAGAACAACATCTGGTAGAAGAGAAATGGGACAAAGAGAGGACAAAAATTTAAATTACTGGGTCTAATACCCTCATTTGAGCCCAGGCTCATCAATACCTGGTAAGATTTAAATGAAACTAATTACTCTTATTACAGTTAAGGTATGATTGGGACTAGCAGCTTCTCAATTCTCTATAGCTGTCCAGTCAGATGGAACATTAGTTCAATACAATCCAACTGAATAACATGCAACAAATGAAAAGTCAAAATTGTAAACTCAGATAATTCTTTACACAAATATTGAGAATAATTTTTTACATAAAATGGTAATGAAAGAGGTGAACTGTAGATAAAACACTGAATTTTGGGGGTCTACAAATTAAATGCAGGAGGTATGGAGGAGGTAAATACTTTCAAGTAAAAAGAATAGCAGGTGACTTAATGAAGATCACAAACAGAACCTGAAGATCAGCTTAATGTTATGATCATTTGCAATTCAAATTACCTTATGATTCAGACATGAAGTCTCAAGAATGAGAAAATCAAAACAATTCAAACAGCAATTATTGTAAAGCTTGGTGGGAAGCTGGAGTAGAACAGAAGGCCTAGTAAGATGCCAGCATTCCACAGAAAAGATACCAATCTTAAATTTGTGTGATAAAGCACAAAGAAGATTCCTTTAAGTTAAATAATGACATTGCTAAAGGAAGAAGAGAGTAATTTAATGGATGATTTAATGCTGGGATAGTAAAAGAAAACAGTCATATTCTAGACAGATGTTGTGGAAAACATGAATTGTGAAGCAGCTTTGAAGGAACCATAATGAGTCAAGTGTTGGAAGTATTCCCACTGAATTGTGAAATTTGAACCTCAGCTTTTGTAAGGTAACCTTGTTGACTGAATACTCTTAAAATTAATAATTTAGGAAAATCCAATTTTGAAAAAAAAGTCTATTCTAATGCAAGAATGATGATCACAGCACGTGGAATTCTGGTTTTTATTTTCTAGGTAACATGGAAACAGCCCAAGTCCTGACCAAATACTACGGTTTTTTTTGGCGTGTGAGTGTTTCTCCCTCCCTGTTTTTTCCCAACCATTTCAATCTTTCTGTGTTCACAGGATTTCCAAAATTCTCCAGTAATCTGAGATGTCTCTCTGTGACTATGCTAAGAGAAGAGAATCATATGTAAACTTTCTTATTTTTTGCTGAATTGTGTACAAGTGAGAGTTGTTGAATCTCAGGCAAATTGCTAATCCTCTATGACCCTCCATTTATCCACATGTAAAATAAGCCTAATAAAAAGTCCACAAGTAGCAAGCATGGAATTTAAGCTAAGAAATAACTTATAGCTGTAGAAGAGTAAAATTGGTAAAATTAATTGAACTGCAGTGAAACTATTCCTGCTGGCAGCAGTGAAATTATTGGGTCACATAAGTTTTATACTGCTACCAGTCATGCAAATGATCCAACTGAAGTAAATATGATGTCCCTATCTTTCTTCCCAGTGAAGGGCAGTAGCACAGACAGTAACTATATTTTTGCTGCTCTTGGTAGTCATACAGCACTTCAGCAAAGGGAGAGTAAAATTTACAAATTCTGGTGAAAATGTTCTCTTAGAAGGCTGCTGGATTACCCTTGAAACAGAAGTTGCAATCCTAATTTCAACCTGCTGAAAAGGTACAGGTGTGAATATTTTATTTAAACAACCAGTTCTGACTGCATTTCTCCATTCCTGTAATCAGAAATCTCCTTGGAATTTTAAGCTTATTACTGGCAAAGAGAAAATCCAAAACTCTGTTTAAATGTTTAAAAATGTTTTAAATGTTTAAAAGCATTGCTAAACAGTAAAGCTAATAACAAGGTGAGCAAGGAAACAACCCACAACCTTCTTATCAGTCAGTTTAATTCTGCTTACTTTTCATAAAGTAACAATTTCTAGGAACTTAGTTTTGCTAATTGAGAGCTCCATCTGAGAGCAACTACTAAACCCATTTATAAGAGAAAAATTTTGAAATATTTAAGTTATAAAGCAATTAAATATCTTATTTAATAATACTGTAATGAGATAACATAGATGAAAAAAAGGTAACAAAGTGAACTAACTCATGGAATTGCATCAGTGAGGAAATAACTTTGTCCAACTTTTAGGGTTCTTGCATATTTCTGATATATTAGTTCACATTCTGCAAATTCTAAACTACTGTTATACACTTCTATAGATGTATTAATCTTTTCCATTCATCTTTCATCTTCTATTGCCAAAATAAGGGTGTCAAGTTATGACCCAGATGTTCTACTATTGACCTACGCAGACAAATAACAGTTCTTTACTTAAGAGTTTGAGTTTGCCCCAGGGACTCATATTAAAATGAAAATACCACAATCACAGAATTGTAAAATGGCTCAGGTTGGAAGGAACCCTCAAAGATCCTCTGGTTCTACCCTCACTTGCCGTGGGCAGGGACACCTTCCACCAGATCAGGTTGCCCAAAGCTCCATCAAACTTGACTTTGAAAACTTCCCACGCCTCCAAACACTCTCAGTATATTCTACATTCCATTATGAATTTTCCATTGTTTCCATGTAAACCTCAAAATCAATTTGTCAAATTACAGTGATGTCAGGGAAGGGAAAGAATTCTCGGAGCAGAATGAAGGAAATTTATAGCATTAGAAGAATTTTCAGGCTAGAAAGAGTATGATGGAAATTCCTACAAAGAGAAATTGGAAGGAGGCAGAAGGCTGGAAGATGTTAGATATTTAGGGCTTTTCTAATTATATTCAGTTATTTTTAATTATATGCAATTAAGCCTAATAAAAATTATTATAATTATGATAACAGTTTCTATCGAATATAAAATTTTGTAAAAGATGCTTTAAAAAAATCCTCTCTCCTGGGGAAAAGGACTGTGTTTCACACTGAAATGTGCTGGTGAAATATGATGACAAAGTAGGGAGGGGGATGGAATTGGGAATCTGTGTTTAACATTGTTCTACTTTGTATGACTTAATGTTTTTAGGTAACTCTAAATCTTATTAAGTTTTAAGTAATTCTAACAATTTCTGCATAATTCTAAAGGCCTAACTTTGGTTATTTAGCCCAGTGCTTAAAGCAATCACATTTGACACACGAAAGTCTCTATTCACATCCATTATTGTAATGGAGTGTGATCATGGCCTTCTCCAACTATTTCTGACCATGCTTAGTTACACATTTGTGACGAGGTCAACTCACACGGACCTGAAGAAATGACACACTTCTCTTCCTGTGCAAAAGGCCCTGTGACCTTGGTCCTTTTGACAAGAATTGGGCTTGAAAAAACAAATCACTAATGCTTGAAAGATTAGTAACAGCTTTGCTGAGACTACTTTTGGTAATCCCTTATATTTAGACAGGTTATATTTTGTCCTTCCTGTTGCTTCCTACTGTGTCTGTCCATGCACCAGGATAAATCTCTGAAAGCTATGATATCCACCTCCTTGCAAAATGGTCTAATTTTTCATTTTAATGATTTTCTTTAAATTTGGTTAGATGACATACATGAAGAATTTTATACAGCTGAGCCCAGGAAAGGGAACTTTTTATCATTAAGGTCTTCAGTGACCTCCTGTATACATACAATAGACAAGACTTTAGATCTGTTAGTCAAAAGAAGGACAATGTCCTTAAATTTCCCAAGGAGATAGCAGATAATCTTTCATCCAGGAACTGGTTTTTCTTCAGTAAGTCTGAGTGAAGGTATTAAGAAGTTTCTTTGTCTTTTGGGGTCAAAAAAGCATCAGTAAGACCTTTGTAGAAGGTAATGCCATGGATATTTGACAGAAAGTAATTAATTTACACACACTTGGTCTACTATTGTCAGAATATCAGCTCAAGTTTCTCTGACCTCTTACTTCTGAAAATCAGCTGATGCAGGTAATGCAAATCTAAGAGTGAGTCTGCATAAGTCTAATATTACACACAGAAAATATTTTTCCTTGTTTAGGTAAAAGAAAATAAATACAGAAAAACAAAATCATACAGAAAGGAAGGCAGATTTAAAGGAATAAAAGAACACACTTATTAAAAGCAGTAAGGTTTTGCTGCTGTATCTTTAAAAGGATTAAATTGGCATAAATCCACTGATATGCAGAAGAAAAAGTACAGCATAGAAGTGACAGGATGATTATGTTGCAACATGGGTCATTATGGAGTTGCAGCAGAGCTGAGGGCCTGGTGGCTGGTTAAATCAGCTTGGTACTTATTTTTACGTGATTCCCTGCAGGCTTGTTTGGATGGCAGCAGCATGAACTCCTCTTGAATGTTCCAACCTAATAAATCATTGGAGTGCCTCTGACTTTGCCTTGACACGTTCTTCCTTTGCTTCAAACGTTTCAGGGGTTTTTTTGGAATTCTGTGGGAAGCATGTTACACTGACAAATTAGATACATAAAGCTTACATTTGCGTCATCATATTGATTCACCTTGGGTTTATTTGATTCAAGAGATGACCAGATTTTCTATTTTCACACCAGGTTCTGATTTTTGTTATATTACCGTTCTGAAGTACACCCTTTTGATGGAAATGTGTGATCACTGAATTGTTCCTTTGAAATTCTGGAGTGACTCTGAAGAAACTCTTGTCTGAAGCTGTGCTTACCAACCCTCAACTAATAATTGCCGGTTTGTTTATGTCTATTATTTTTTATATTCCCTGGATCGCACAAAATGTACTTTTGAATTTGTTGCAAGTGCATCATCTGATCTACTTTCAAATTCTAGTCAAGTATAGAACAAGAGGGGAGAGAGTAACAGTTCTTTCCTGCTGACATGCCTTTGCTTCATTTTACTTCGTGGAAAGTTGTCCTTAGCCCCTTCTGAAGAAATTTGGTGATATCTGGAAGTGGATGTTAAACTGTGTAACAGCACAGTTTTCTTTTTTCTTTTTTTTTTTTTTTCCCCAGGAATCAACTTTTTTAGTAGATAGAGTCTGCTTTCAATTCCAATATGATGAGGAAAGAGAACCTGTAGAATGATTAAACGTGATTTGCACATCTTTTAACAAATAAAGCACATGGTGTTTTCAGCTGCAATACGTCAACATGAATTAAGTATTCTGGAGATATATATTTGACAAGAAGATGTTATTTGTGTTTGGAGCATGTCCTTTGAATGCAAAATGAATCTCTCTATGCAAGAAATATCCAGCTCTTCTAAAAGACACATTTAAGCTTGTTGGTTTTTTCTGATGTATTTATTGATAGGATATTCTTTATTCTCTCTTATATCTAGTAATAAGTACTTTCAGCAATTAAGCCTTCATTTGTACTATACTGATTGCCCTCATACTGAATTCTGATTCCTGCATAAAGTGATTTTTTTTCACTGACTTACTTCCCGGTGTTATCAGAAAAGGAATAATAACACTGGCTGAAAAAAAATTTGGAGCCTTAGTGTCATTTATTGGTATTGTTGTGGTAGCTAAAGAAGAGAACTTGGTCCTTAACATACCAAAAAGACACTGACACAAGAATCTTCCCATTTAAATTACCACATTCAACAGGTAAACAGACAGATCTGTAGAGACTCAGATTCGAGCAGGTAGCCTGGATTTCTTGTGGCAAACAGATTTTTAGCCATTAAATGTTATTGGTGTGACACAAGCAGTTGTGAGAGAACAACTTTCTGCTGGATTGAAAACATTATGCAGATCCCCTGGGTATTTGAGCCTGACCTAGCGAGGGACCTCTTTGGAGTGTGATTTGCTGTGCTTTTTACAGCAGCTGCCTTTGCTCTTTTGAAGCAGGGAAGGCTGAAAGACAGGAGGCTGGATTTTCCTGAGTGTGGGTCTAAATAAACCTGGCTAGCTCTGAGGATAAACAACAGAAGGACAAAAACCAGCAAAATAATAGTGAAAATATCAATGTCCTGCCATAGACTGTGATTGAATACAAAGTCCAAACAGCAAGATTGATATTTATATACTTAACTGTATCAACAAGAGAGGTGTAAGTTACATATGAGGGGTCTAAGTGGTAATTATTTCTTGGATATGTCCTTTCTAGAAAGTTATAAAGTTACTGTAATACAACTAGTGAGTTGTAACAACTACAAAGCTACAAGTGTAGGCCTTCCATATACCAAAAAAATCCATTGTATAGTCCATTGGATACACTAAACAGGTGATGTACTGAGCACTGTAATTGTAATATATCTTATCATCAACAACATAGGATGCAGGTTGTCTTTTCACTAAGTACTAGGTACTAGGACCAAAGTCACTGTATTTTGAACAGATAACAAAAGCAATAATCCCTCTGGAGAGGTTAATCTTATCCAAAGTAAGACGGGTTTATGCAACACCTTGCTTTAAGCAAAAACAACTGTAAAATTCAAATTTGAGATCTGAGAACTTGTAAGGGAAAAAAATGTTAGCATTTCCTACCATGATCTAAATTCGTGTGTCTCTCACGAAAAATAGCATTTCATTTAATGGGAATATATTGATTTGAAACTTCAAGGGTTTATGCTATTTGAATAATTTAGTTAAATAAAAAACAGTAGTGCCTTTTCCCCCCAGGGAATTATATTGATATCAATGCGAACAAATCATTAATACACCATTTTACAATCTTGATCATGACTGGATATTTTAATTTTGCCAATACCAAACACGAAATGTCTGTAACCCTTTGTTTACAGCAGTTTTGAGTGAATACAGACACAGGACTTAGGAAACAAGCATCATGAGAGAGTAACTTTAAAGCCTCCACAGCAAATAGTAGCACAGTGTCAGCTTCACGTGCCCCAAATGAAGCAATAAAAGGAGAAAAGAAGACAGAATTTCCACTTACTGGAAGTTGAACTTGCTCCCCATAATGATCTCTTAATTGTAGATGGAAGACTGGAGTGGAAATGATTCTGGTTTTGGGAATTTGTTGCAGTACATCTTCTATAACACTATTTTACATAGTTCCATATATGAGGGCAGAAGTGAAACTACGCAAAAAATTGCTGACTGCAAAACAGCAGAGTAACATTTCGTTGAGGACCATAGGAGAATATCTATATTTTCATGGACACCATTGCACTGATAAAAAGACTCAGAATTTTCCAGTTGGAAGCTTTGTACCAACTAGAACAGCAAAAGATTTCCATTTAATTCTAACTACAGCTATACCTGACTGTTGGGTTGAAGGAGGTCCTGAGACTTTATTCCTCAGCTTCTCACAATGAGAACTTACCATTTCCTTAGGACAAACACAGTAGATCACATACTTGCATTAAATTTGTGATTGTTCTGACCTCCACTCACTTAACAGTCCTCTTCTGTCTGAGGAAAAAAGCTGCATTTTCCCGAGCAGCAAATGTGTCTTGAAATGAGTGAAGTTTTCAAGAACAAACCTGTCATCAAAAGCTTGAATTGTCAATAAATTAAAAAACAAAACAAAACAAAACAACCAACTAAACAGAACCTCACACAAAACTAAAACACAACAAACACATAACCCTGAGAAAATGAGCATTTCAAAATACAATAAAACCAGTATTTTGCCGTATTTCAATGCCATATTTCAATATGGTATTTAAAAGGACAATAAAATCTTAATAAGCTATTTAGGTTTAAGAAAGAATTTTTTGTGATAAATAGCTGAAAAAAAATTGTATGTGTGAAATGTATCATTAATGGTTTCTTTAAAAAACTGTTACATTCAGTACAGAGTTCGCAATAGAATTCAGTACCTCTTTTATTATAAGATTAAGAATCATGAAAAAATATATTCTCCACTATTCCATTCCTTCTTGGGAAAAATAACTTAATGAACTTTTGATTCTTCGAGGGCACTCTGGAGCCCAAGGAGTGAAACAAAATGTTTTGCTATGCAGACATGAGAATATATGCTTTAATGGGCAGTTCCCTGAAGTATTTGTTCACTTATTGTAAAAATAAGCTGAGAATCTTTATTTATAGAACGTGTCTTTCGATGATGGATTGCGTGGAAAGGTGAGAATTCACTGTTCAAATGTGAAAACTGAAGGTTTTCTGATAATTACTCAGAAACAAACTTGATCCAAAGGTTTGGTTCTGTACTGTGAAAATGAAAAATAACAGTGGTTTCTATGGTGATGTAAAAACAGAAAACAAGGAACTGAAATTAAGGATTTTTTTTTTTTCTCTGTCCCCATCTTTTTACAAGGGTGAGTGTTAAATAAAACTTCAAAAAACAGGTGGTTATTTATCAGTTTATGTTACTCAAAGCATACTTTCTGTAGCTGGACAGTCTTGCAAATAGCTGTGAAGACTGGAATTTTTACAGAGTTTAATAATTTGTCATTTCAAATTTTGCTGTGCTAGCGTTTTTTTTTTTAATTTCTTTTATTTGAAATGTTATCATTGGTGTTATTAAGAGGAAAAATGAGTAAATAATTGAACATAATAATTTGAGATAATGTTCAAGCACATAATTTTCAACAGCTATATTTAACGTATAAATGCAAATAATATTACAAAACATCAAATAGTATTTAAATTATCATAAATATAAATATAATTCTATGGTTTGCTATCACTAGTACTTCAAAAAGTTTTATTAATCTGAAAACTTTATTCTGTTTCAAAGGTATTTTTCTTGCCTTAAGTAGCAAATATACTCCCAAATGTAGAAATATAGAAGTGCTTTTACTGTGACCACTGTCCTTACAGCTCTTTGAGAGTGCTTTGATATCTACAGGGTGAAAGGTGACAGTGAAGTATAAAGTATTTATATTATTTATTTATATATTGCAAAGTTAGACTAGAAGTGGGAGAACTTAGCCTTACAAAGTGCTGTTAGAAATTTCTAACTTGTGCAAGTCTGAACAGGAAGTGCTTCTGAGTGATACAATATCCACTGTTCATTACTGTTGTGCATAATGCCAAATTATGGTTTTATTAGGGTTTTTTTAGAATATTCTTGTAGATGTAAGCAAACCAAATCGTGGAGTCTTAATACACATAACTAAAATTAACATTAGGGGTTTTTTTTAATTAAGTATAGTAAGACATAAGATATATGGCCTCTGATTTTTTGATGCAGAAAATAAAGAGACTACATAAATAATGACTGTGAATTAAAATTGTGTAGTAATGGAGTAGATTTATGTATTCATGCTGCCTTTTGATTCCAACGGAAGTATTTTTTATAAAGCAAAAGGGAAAAGTGTATTTTAGTGGTAATGTAGAGAATTATATGATTTTTAACTTTCAGTTCTTGTTAAGTATCTCTCTTCATTGCTTTAATAAACATAGGCAGAGAGAGGAGAGAAGAGAAAAGAGAAGAGAAGAGAAGAGAAGAGAAGAGAAGAGAAGAGAAGAGAAGAGAAGAGATGTAGAAGTCTGTCAAAGAAGTCTGTTCAAGAAATATGTTAAACATTTCATGTTTTGACTCATTCTAATTCAATGTCTTTTAGAGTATCATTTATCATCTCTCAACTGGACTGTAAGGACCCTTCTGCTTTTAATTCTTAATTTTATTTAAAATGTTGGAAAACTGTTGATTGTAATTTTTTTTTTCAATTTCCTCCTAAAACCATTCTGAGTCTTTGTGGACTTGGCTGGAACTGTTTGTGTCAGCATCTGTAATAGTGAATTTGAAGCCAAAATTTGCTCCAGAAAACTCATTCTGCCTGACCCATCAACTACCATTCAACCTATAGGTATACAGAACAGATAGGACTCCCTTACCTTTCTTGATTTCAGCTTCTCCTGGTTTTCTTCCTAGACTATCCCATTTCTAACCCCATAGCTATCTGTTAGGCTTCTTATCTACTACTTGGTTTTGTGTAAGTATTTTACTGGCCTCTGTCCTTCCAGTCTTCTTTTGCCTGCTGCTATTTATTTTAGCTACATAATCTCATGAAACTATTGTTGACTACTGTTCAGGTTGCCACATTATCATGATTTAAACCAAACTGGCAATGAAGTACTACACAGCTGCTCACTCGCTTACCCCACCCTGCCCCCTGCAGTGGGAAGGGAAGGAGAACTGGAAAGAGTTAAAACTCA